GCTACCAAGTGTTTCTAGAGATACAAATGGTAAAGAACATAAACTTTGAACCCTACTCTTGACTTTCCAGTGGGTAGGTCTTCATTCCAGCCAAGGTAGGGCAAAACGGCAGAGCAGCATGAGGAAACTTTGATTAATCTCTGGAGGATTTTTAACGGCATGTTGTCACTTTGGTACCTTTGACTACATTGCCTTCAGTCTTTAATTCTGTATTAAAAATGAAATTCTTTGAAGAGGCACTGTCGTTAACAGCTTGTGTAGGAATGTACTGAATTTTGTGATTTTGTGTGACCTTTTGGCCATAAAGTGCTAAGTATAGATTGACTGTAGATTTTCCAGAAAGCTCAGTTTTCATTTAGACATTTAAACCGAGTGGCCAGTATTAAAAAAAAGATTTTTTTTTTAATCCAGGAGTCCCATTGAGAATCGAGAATACGGCTTAAAAGCAACACTCCTAAAAAAATAAGTCTTTTAATTAATTAAATGTGACATTCAGTGAAGTTGTATCTTTTATGTAAAGTTGAATTCTATTTCCTGTGATTGGAAGGCTACAATAAGTGAGTCTGTCAGTACTGTGTTTCTCCAGACCGAAGGGCCACGATCAGGGAGTGTAGCTGTAAGGAGAGGAGGCATCTGGTAACATTTTACAACTTTTCCTTTCCAAATTTTGGAAAAATGGATTTATTTTTTTTTTTCCTGTATAACCGCTGAGGCAGAAGGCATTACAGCACCATCAACAGGCGGCATTAAGAGCACCTTAATTTTCTCCTCACCAAAAAGCAGACAAATGATAGGCTATTAACCATCGGGCACCAATTTAGTCTCAAGGACAGGTGCTTACTCTGAGGTACCAGGTCACGCCGCTGCGAAGGAACAGAATGAGTTTGCAGGAGGGGTGTTGGGGATACCTGTGAACATTTGTCATCTCTGCCACCCTTTTTCTTGCTCCTGAAAGTTCTCACACATGTGACCATGAACACCTAATGGTGATGAGCAGTAGGGACAGAAGCTGGAAAGAGAACCGAGGGTTGTGGCTGGGAGCACAGCATGTACTCTGCCTGGGGAATGTGGCTGGCTGAGTAGGCTGGATCTGCCTTCGTCTCCCCAGGATTTTCTTCCCAGCTGTGTGATGATAACCGGAGGAGAGTTAGGATATGCAGCAGTGTAGGAACAGTGCATATGCCTTGAAAAACTATACAGCAAGATGATTATACTTTTCCTTTACTACTAAAATAATTTGTGTTTATTTTAGGTTGGATTTCTTCTTTTATTTTTTACATCGAGAATCTGCTTGTGGGGATTGTGAGTTTTGTTTCATGCATCTCGCCATCTACCACATTTCAGCCCAGCTAGATGCTTTAGGCTTGCAGCAGAAACCAGGTAGCCCACATTGAAACGCCTGGATTTCCTGCCGCAGGAGTGCGTCTCATAAATTTTCAGTAAAAAGGGCGTGGAGCAACAGCCCCATCTAGCGCTCACATAACTTAAAACTGTAACAGTAATCCAATTGCTGGGTCGACGTCCCTTAATCACCCATCACCAAAGATTTCTGTAATGAAAAGCGTCAGTAGCAGTTTAGCTTTGTGTTCACTCAGTGAACTCCACTTCTGTGATCTGAGCCTGTACAGCAGTTATTCACAGGTGCTTCCTGTGCTGTATTTAAGGCAAAGCATGCTTCTGCAAAACAGCTACAGGAGCAAGAGAAGTCGGCACCAGCACACTGCCAATCTGTATGCCCAAATACAGCAGTAAGGAATTCTGTTTCCTTAGTTATTCATTCCTTAGCCTCTATTAAGTAACACTTAATAAGCATGTCACAAATCAGTTGAAATGTTGGTGGGTTTTTTTTCTTGTTATGCAGATACCTGGACAGGTACTGGAATCTGTATTCACCCTGGTTCATTCTGCATGAGTAGATAGGCCAAGCCTTATTTCCACTGTTGAGTATCAGCTTTAATCAAGAAGTGTGTGAAGCTTAGCAAAGAGGTTATGGACTTGACCCTTAAAAACCTATTAAGCGTAGTAGATGCTCTGGTGTTTAACACTGTAACAATTTTACTGTTCTTGTCACAACAAAATTTACTGATCTTAGTTATGTACTTAACCTGTCCAGAAGGCGAGAGTTGGATGCCTAAGAGTGAACTATCCAAGAGCCATCAAACCAAGCTGTGCATTGTCTGGCCCAAACAGCCTGCAAAGGTGTAGCTCAAAGAACATTCCTTTTCTGAATATAAACAGCTCTCTTTCCTGTAAAAGAGAGGTGTGCAAGGTGTCCCGCAGCCTCTTTTTGTCTAGCAGCTCAGGTATCACTGCACTCATCAGAGCTCCCTGGATTCTCAAGATTGTTTTAGAGTTTCCATTAACAGCTTCTTACCAAGAAACAGATGAGACTGAACTAAAAGGCCAATATGCAGCCTCCCAGGAAATTCTGATGGCTGAAACTGTGCCCTTCTCCCCAGTGTAGAACAACTGAGAAGGGGCTGTGGACTTTTCACATGTCCACTTAGGCATCTCGATCCTTGTCAGAACGTGACCTAGAGCTCTGTTTAGAATATTTATTTCATTTAGTCCTTTCCAGTTGTTGATTATTATAGCCCTAATTCAGGTTATCTCAGAAAGGCTCAAGAAGAGAATCCATGCTACCTGTTTTACTTGTTGGCATAAATTGTTTCAAAATTTCAGACCAGATCCTTGCAACAATTTTTTCTGAAACGTGTACGGAGAGATTGTTGAATCTGTAACAGCCCTATTTACGTGTACTAGTATTAAAATAATGTTCTTTTTGCTGGCATTCTTCGCAGAAAAGAGCTTATTGAGAGCAAAGGGGGTGAACATCATTCTTTCCAAGTCAGTCATTTCCTCCAGGGTAAGGACTATATCACCTAGGCACTATCTGCATGAAAGCGGTAGTGCCTTTTCTGTATATATTCTATTAACACTGATTTCTTTTTTATAGCACTGCCTCCTCCCTGCTTCTGCACCACTGTAAAATGCATTTCCTTTTTTTCTTCCCCCCAACAAAAACATATTATAATATTTTCTCATGTTTCTGTTTCTTATAACTATTGTCTGCTTGCCTGGTTTTCTGTAGGTGCTCTGGGTTTGGATCATTGGAATACGCACTAGGCAGTAAGATTACAAGGTTTTGAGGTGACATGTAATTTTACACATGGATTGAGTTCCGCTGGTAACTAGAAAAGTCTCTGTGGCTCCTCAGAAAGTCAAATAGTGAATAAAGAGGACACATGGCATCTTCCCATTTATAGAAAGCCAGACTAAATAAAGGCATGTGGAGATACTAGTTAGAGCAGGTTAATTTAGTGACTGTTTAAACTCTCGTGCCATGTTCGGGATACCATCCCAAGGTTGTGAAATTGCTGGTGTTTTATATGCAGCTTATTATATATACCAGCTGCATTATGCAGAATGTTTTAAAGGAAGAAGGGCAAGATTTAGAGGCCATTAAAAACTTAACAGCACTGTCCAAGTCATGGACAAAAACGTAAGTATTGTGTAATGTAAGTGAAAGTAATTGGCTAGACCAACACACTGAACAGTAACCACAGAACACAGACCTTCTAAGCCTCAGGAAACAAAACAAGACTATTACAGGTACACTGTACAAAGCAGGTTTGTGACTCTTGCCACCTAACTGATGTTACTTAACACATTAAAACAGCAGAAGTTTGACTTTAACTTGAGGTGCTGCTAAAGTTGAGTTCTAGGCTGACACTAATACAAGCCGCTTCTCTGAGCTAAGACTGTGTGGATCTTCACACATTTAACACACACTCTGAATTTTTTGAGAACAGATCTCTTCCTGTACTACAGACATA